TCAAGCCAAAATTTAAATATTTTACACTTAATCCAAGACTAAGCAACTTCTCCCAAAATAATTAAATTTACAAATCTTCTACGACAAATTTGAGCCACAAGCCAAGAAAAGGAATATAATTACAATAGCCTTTACTATTATTGATGGCTGGAAATAAATTGAAAAGGTGTGATTCATGAAGGAAACAGTTACATGGTAAACTGCTTTATTAGCATGAGGCTCTATACTGCTGTAGCTTCGTCCTGAATAACATCATATTGTAGGCGATATGTATTTGAAATTTATAAAAGTTTGCTTTCTTTACAGGTGCATGAAATTCAGTTCTTTCTAGTTCAAGATGCTTCAAACATTTATATTTTCTGAAAGGTCCATTCTAGTGTTTAATTAACATGCAAAAATGTTTTCAGTTTTCAGTCTTCTTATATAGCAAGCAATATGCGTAAAAAAGTATATGATTTACAATAAGAAAGAGTAAACCAGTCTAACAAAAAGCTTGATTAGACAGTAACAAAAAAAAAAAAAAAAAAAAAAAAAAAACGATTAGTTTACAAGCAAATTTAATTACTAGTTGACAAACCGCAAAAGGATATTATTAAGCAAAGGTTGTTACTTCGTAGATTCAAGGATAATTCACAATTAGTGCGACACAATAATGAGATTCAACTAAATGAGCAGATACTGTGTAAACAATATGTAAAAGATTTAAGACTAAACATAGGTTGAAAACAAAAAGAGTTATAAGCTTTATTTTGCAGATTTCAATAGAACATATTACTTACTCATATAATATTTTAGGAGTCTCAACGATTATTTAAAATTACTATGACACTTCCCTACGGAAAGTGCCTAGTAATTTTTTACCAAGAATCAGGAGAATTCAACTTCAGTTCTTCTCTATCAGGTACTGTGCTAACTGCTTGCTAATAAAGGAATTATTATATTTTTTTGTTTTAACCCCCAAACATTTAAATCAACAAATCTCTTCGAGATCAGCAGCCTCTCTAAAAATAATTGAATTTAATAAATCTTCCACGACCAGCCAACTGTTATTGGACGGAACCAACGTTGTTCCCTAACTGGTAGGACTTTACCGCCTTTTTTTTAGTTTTATTATGCTTGGAATTTGAAGGTTAATGAGTTATTAGAAATCATCAAATTGTAATCATTTGATTTGAAGCCTATCGTCCATCATATGGTGTTATATACCGATGACTGTAAAAATTTTAATATGCTTAATTTACACAGATAACACAAAGCAAAATTTGAAAATAAACTTTAAAAATGAAATCCAAACGAAATATTTGATGAAAAATTTAACATTCATAAATCAATATTATCAATTACAAGAGTTGCAGCAACGTAGTTTTCCCTCTCGTTAATATTCCCAAAAGACTGAGAAAATGTGGAAAAATTGAAAACAAAAGGAAATAATATTGCAAAAAATGTCACAATTGCTATACATAAATTATTTTCAACAGTATAATATAGCAACTGAAATGAAATTATTCAGTGAAAAGGATCAAACACTGATTGCTATTATTATATCATTAAATGTAATAATTTATATTCTATTACTATTAGCCCCATATTGTTTGTTGCACGCGGAAGAAAGTTATCAATATACATAGTTGCCACCTCCATCTGAATGAGCATTTATACATGCGATTATTTAACAATATCTAACAGAAGTAACAGAAGGCCTCTGTCAAACTCTCTTCCACAAATTTCTTTCATTTATTTTGTTCTCTTTTCAGAGCTCTGATTAGAATTTTGGGACTCGATGATAATCTAGAAAAGCATTTATTTGGGCAAATTTTTCCTTCGGCATTTGTCAATGAGCAATTGCCTAGTAAATTTGAATGTTTTCAGAATTGGCAACAAATTATTCTCGTTGGCAGTTGGCATGCATTTCATCTATTTCTTCTTCTTCTTTTTGCAACTGAACAATATTCAAACAACCGTAAGCCCATTTAAAGTTTAAAAAATAGAACATAGCGTTGCGATACCATGGAGATTTAAATTTTTACCCGGTATGAGATTGATAATTGCATATCATTTGAGGTAGCGCAAACGGATCAAACAGAACCATTGGATTTATCAATATCAAAAGTGAAAGAGAAAGGCAATGCATTACAAGGCTTATCAATGGAAAGAAAGTGTGAAGAAGAAATTGGACTGCAATTGCTTCAAACAAAAACATTGTATTCAACCGCTTCAAAAGTCAGTGATGAACGAATTCCAATCGAAACAGTCATGAAAGTAATGGAAATGTCAAAGCAGGAAAGTAGAACGAAAAAGAAGCAACGCCACGATGTACACCAAAAGCAAGAACATACGATGACTCATACCGATGAGAAGCCGTACAGTTGTCCGACATGCAAAAAGAACTTCACTGAGTCCGGCAATATGAAAAGGCATGTGATGAGTCATACGGGTGAAAAACCATACAGTTGTCCGATATGCGGGAAAAGTTCCACTCATCCCGGTAATATGAAAAAACATATGATGACTCATACCGGTGAGAAGCCGTGCAGTTGTCCGATTTGCAAGAAGAATTTCACTGATTCCAGTAATATGAAAAGACATATGATGACTCATACCGGTGAGAAGCCGTGCAGTTGTCCGATTTGCAAGAAGAATTTCACTGACTCCAGTAATATGAAAAAACATATAATGACTCATACCGGTGAAAAGCCGTACAGTTGCCCGACATGTAAAAAGAATTTCACTAACTCCGATAATATGAAGCAACACATGCTGACTCATACCGGTGAAAAGCCGTACAGTTGTCCAACATGCAAAAAGAATTTTACTCAGTTCAGTAATATGAAAAAACATGTGATGATTCATACCGGTGAGAAACCGTACAGTTGTTCAATATGCAAAAAGAATTTCACTCAGTTCGGAGATATGAAAAAACATATGATGATTCATACAGGTGAAAAGCCATACAGTTGTCCGATATGCGGAAAATGTTACACTCGAAGATACATTTTGCAGTCTCACATGGTAACTCATGACATGAATAGACCTGTTTACCACTGTACTGCATGCAGTAAAGATTTTCAGACTAAATGCGGCTTGAAATTACACATGCGGAATCATTAAAAATTACGCTTTACGTCTTATTTTCAATTAAATACGCATTGCTATTCCTGTTATTATTGATTATTTATATTTTTCATCAGCAAATTCTTCTGTCATTTGTCTTTATTTGTTAAATAATTCTCTCTCACTATTATTGTTGTTATAGTTGCGTTAATCTTGGTCATATAAATTTTTATCATTTTTCATGTCATTTTTCTTGTTAAGATCAATCAAAATCTCCTTAAAATAGCGCCCAACATGCATGATATAATTGGCAAACTTTAATAATATAGTAGCATCACTTTAACTCAGTTTACATACAGTACATTCTTTCTGAAAAATGAACTAATCAAGTATCATCTCACAGATCTTGTATAAACGAAGCGTCTCGCTTGCTTTATTTCACTATAAAAAACATTCAGAAAATTAAGTAACCATACATAAAACAAGTACAAAATGAGAAAGAAAACAAACAATGAAAGTAATATAACGGGCGTTCATGTGAACACACGCTTGAAATCATGGCAGAAATAACAAAAGATACAAATAAATAGTAAATATAGCAGCCATCATACTTTTTTACTCATGTGAAGGAATTTTATGAACAAAAGTCTGTGTTCATAATTTTGCAGTGAATTAAACCCAGCCATGATATTGCTAATTTACTTAGCAATTATACATTAATGAACTTAATTAGTGACATAGGCTTAGGAAAAAATATGTAATCAATAAGAGTAACAGAATTTTCTTATAGAAGAACAACAAACAATTCAAGCCAAAATTTAAATATTTACACTTACATCCAGACTAGCAACTTCTCCCAAAATAATTAAATTTACAAATCTTCTACGACAAATTTGATGCCACAAGCCAAGAAAAGGAATATAATTACAATAGCCTTTACTATTATTGATGGCTTGGAAATAAATTGAAAAGGTGTGATTCATGAAGGAAACAGTTACATGGTAAACTGCTTTATTAGCATGAGGCTCTATACTGCTGTAGCTTCGTCCTGAATAACATCATATTGTAGGCGATATGTATTTGAAATTTATAAAAGTTTGCTTTCTTTACAGGTGCATGAAATTCAGTTCTTTCTAGTTCAAGATGCTTCAAACATTTATATTTTCTGAAAGGTCCATTCTAGTGTTTAATTAACATGCAAAAATGTTTTCAGTTTTCAGTCTTCTTATATAGCAAGCAATATGCGTAAAAAAGTATATGATTTACAATAAGAAAGAGTAACCAGTCTAACAAAAAGCTTGATTAGACAGTAACAAAAAAAAAAAAAAAAAAAAAAAAAAAAACTGATTAGTTTACAAGCAAATTTAATTACTAGTTGACAAACCGCAAAGGATATTATTAAGCAAAGGTTGTTAACTTCGTAGATTCAAGGATAATTCACAATTAGTGGCGACACAATAATGAGATCAACTAAATGAGCAGATACTGTGTAAACAATATGTAAAAGATTTAAGACTAAACATAGGGTTGAAAACAAAAAGAGTTATAAGCTTTATTTGCAAGATTTCATAGAACATATTACTTACTCATATAATATTTAGAGTCTCACGATATTAAAATTACTATGAACACTTCCCTACGGGAAAGTGCCTAGTAATTTTACCAAGAATCAGGAGAATTCAACTTCAGTTCTTCTCTATCAAGTTACTGTGCTAACTGCTTCTGCTAATAAAGGAATTATTATATTTTTTTGTTACCCCAAACATTTAAATCCAACAAATCTCTTCGAGATCAGCAGCCTCTCTAAAAATAATTGAATTTATAAATCTTCCACGACAGCCAACTGTTATTGGACGGAACCAACGTTGTTCCTAACTGGTAGGACTTTACCGCCTTTTTTTTAGTTTTATTATGCTTGGAATTTGAAGGGTTAATGAGTATTAGAAATCATCAAATGTAATCATTTGATTTGAAGCTATCGTCATCATATGGTGTTATATACGATGACTGTAAAAATTTTTAATATGCTTAATTTACACAGATAACACAAAGCAAATTTGAAAATAAACTTTAAAAATGAAATCCAAACGAAATATTTGATGAAAAATTTAACATTCATAAATCAATATTATCAATTACAAGAGTTGCAGCAACGTAGTTTTCCCTCTCGTTAATATTCCCAAAGACTGGAAAATGTGGAAAAATTGAAACAAAAGGAAATAATATTGCAAAAAATGTCACAATTGCTATACATAAATTATTTTCAACAGTATAATATAGCAACTGAAATGAAATTATTCAGTGAAAAGGATCAAACACTGATTGCTATTATTATATCATTAAATGTAATAATTTATATTCTATTACTATTAGCCCCATATTGTTTGTTGCACGCGGAAGAAAGTTATCAATATACATAGTTGCCACCTCCATCTGAATGAGCATTTATACATGCGATTATTTAACAATATCTAACAGAAGTAACAGAAGGCCTCTGTCAAACTCTCTTCCACAAATTTCTTTCATTTATTTTGTTCTCTTTTCAGAGCTCTGATTAGAATTTTGGGACTCGATGATAATCTAGAAAAGCATTTATTTGGGCAAATTTTTCCTTCGGCATTTGTCAATGAGCAATTGCCTAGTAAATTTGAATGTTTTCAGAATTGGCAACAAATTATTCTCGTTGGCAGTTGGCATGCATTTCATCTATTTCTTCTTCTTCTTTTTGCAACTGAACAATATTCAAACAACCGTAAGCCCATTTAAAGTTTAAAAAATAGAACATAGCGTTGCGATACCATGGAGATTTAAATTTTTACCCGGTATGAGATTGATAATTGCATATCATTTGAGGTAGCGCAAACGGATCAAACAGAACCATTGGATTTATCAATATCAAAAGTGAAAGAGAAAGGCAATGCATTACAAGGCTTATCAATGGAAAGAAAGTGTGAAGAAGAAATTGGACTGCAATTGCTTCAAACAAAAACATTGTATTCAACCGCTTCAAAAGTCAGTGATGAACGAATTCCAATCGAAACAGTCATGAAAGTAATGGAAATGTCAAAGCAGGAAAGTAGAACGAAAAAGAAGCAACGCCACGATGTACACCAAAAGCAAGAACATACGATGACTCATACCGATGAGAAGCCGTACAGTTGTCCGACATGCAAAAAGAACTTCACTGAGTCCGGCAATATGAAAAGGCATGTGATGAGTCATACGGGTGAAAAACCATACAGTTGTCCGATATGCGGGAAAAGTTCCACTCATCCCGGTAATATGAAAAAACATATGATGACTCATACCGGTGAGAAGCCGTGCAGTTGTCCGATTTGCAAGAAGAATTTCACTGATTCCAGTAATATGAAAAGACATATGATGACTCATACCGGTGAGAAGCCGTGCAGTTGTCCGATTTGCAAGAAGAATTTCACTGACTCCAGTAATATGAAAAAACATATAATGACTCATACCGGTGAAAAGCCGTACAGTTGCCCGACATGTAAAAAGAATTTCACTAACTCCGATAATATGAAGCAACACATGCTGACTCATACCGGTGAAAAGCCGTACAGTTGTCCAACATGCAAAAAGAATTTTACTCAGTTCAGTAATATGAAAAAACATGTGATGATTCATACCGGTGAGAAACCGTACAGTTGTTCAATATGCAAAAAGAATTTCACTCAGTTCGGAGATATGAAAAAACATATGATGATTCATACAGGTGAAAAGCCATACAGTTGTCCGATATGCGGAAAATGTTACACTCGAAGATACATTTTGCAGTCTCACATGGTAACTCATGACATGAATAGACCTGTTTACCACTGTACTGCATGCAGTAAAGATTTTCAGACTAAATGCGGCTTGAAATTACACATGCGGAATCATTAAAAATTACGCTTTACGTCTTATTTTCAATTAAATACGCATTGCTATTCCTGTTATTATTGATTATTTATATTTTTCATCAGTCAATTTTTCTATCACTTCTTTATTTGTTAGATAACTCTTTATCTCTCGCTGTTATTGTTGTTATAGTTCCGCGTCTTGGTCATATATGTATATTTGTTTTTGTTAGAATAAATAAGTTCCCTAACCGTTCCTACGTGGTACCTTGTATGCTATGCATGAAGAACTTGGAAATTAATATTGCTGTTGTTAAATTATTAATGAAATTAAATTGCTTACTCGATTATTGCATAAACAACATGGATACCATAAAGTTAACTACGCAATTTGCAATGAAAACTTCATCCATTCATTTCATTTGTCGATTCGCATTCAGAATTCTGTTTCAGTTACTCTATTTGCGTTCAAAATTCCATTCACTAAAAATATTTGATAATCTAACCCAGTAGTGAATCCATCAGTGAATAACAGCATTAGCTAGTAAAGTTTTTTGAATTAAACCCGACTTGAAACCACATATGCGGAATCGTTAAAGCGTGCAGGTTAAATAGAAATAAGCTCTGATATTTCTATTGTGAAATGACCGAATAATTGGTTGGCAACTAATAAATGCTTCGAATGGATGAAACACTTGAAGAGTTATATAAGGAAACATTGTGCCATAAAGATCAAATATGTCTGTGCAACTATTTCTGCTGGAGCAAAATATTCATAATGTTAATAATTCTCACATTGCATAATCCTACTAATACAAATCGTAAAAACTTTTCTTTATTAAATAATATTGGATTTCATTGAATATAACCACAAAATCCTGACTTGACATAAGTGATCTTTTGAGTTAAATTTACTTCAATTTCCATAACTGACCTTTTTTCTTTCATTCTGCATTTATGACTATCATTATTTATTGCGTGACGAAAATTTTTGTGACATAAAAAAGGAATGTAATTAAAGGAGTGATTAGCTCTATAGCGCAACAGACTTGTTTTGATGAGTAAATAAGGTTTGTGTAGGTTGAATAAAACTTGTGAAATTACTGCTAATATTTATTTCAAATTTGAGCACGAAAAAATAACTTATCGAAACATTTCAGTGAAGAAGATGAAATATCACTATTCATTTTTTCATTATCCTTTAAGTATATAATTAAAAATCTTGTTGTCATTGAGGTTGCAACGGATTAAAGATTTCTATCTTTTTAGATTGAAGTAAACTTGAACACTCTTTCGTCGATTGAATTAAAAAGAAATCTTTTTCAGAGAAAGTGCATTAAATTATATATTTTGGAAATTTTTGTATTTAAATTAACAATTTAATTAGCTTCGAATAAATGAACGAAAATTTTGAAGTAATTATTTTTTATTCTTTTCATTTCATTACCTTTAAATTTCAATGCCTTTAAACATCTTTGCATATCACATTTGACATTGAAAAAAGCAGAAAATTGCCAATTTCATTTTATAATTTATTTCTACTGGAAATATAGAAATTGTAATATCATGTTAATCATTAGAGATCATAGCTTTTTGGATATTACCAGAAGCGATAACTTTGTGCGCTTTAGTAAATTTTATGTACCTAATTATTTAAATCAAATAAAAAATAAAAAAGAAAATGGTGAATAACCTCCTTTTTTATTTATATATAAATTCATAAATAAGAATGAAATAATTGTTGTGGAAGCAAAATTTTACGGAAGATTTGATAATTTAATTTATTTTTTTAAAAATTTTTCTAAGAAAGAATTTAAAATATGGTTTTAAAATGAAAACACTTCTTAATAACAAATGTCAATTGGAGTCAGTAATCAAATTCATTTTATTAGTTGCTAAGAAATGTAGTGCTACTGAGTTATCAGATTATATATTTTGTTAAAGGTTAAACATTTCGCTAAGTTTTTCCAAATTTAGCAACTCTTTACATCGTTTTTCTATCAGATTAAAAGAAATGTGACTAATTCTTTAGAACTTAAAAAATAAAGAAATCATGAATGCCTACACTTTTGAAACCGGTTGGATCTGATTGGGATATGTGCGAAGGTTGTTTCGCTTACATGCCTTTTTTAGGTAAGTTTTCCTTAATATCTTCAATTTCGTCGATTCCTAAGTGAAAATTTCATTTATATTTTCATCGTTTTTTTTTTTTTTTTTTTTAATAGATTTTATTATATTAATTGTTTTCTTACTAGGCATTAAATAATGGATGAATTAATTCATTTTTAAAAAGTCTGTTAAATCGCCTGTGACTGTAACGATTTACTAGCCAGCCGGTAGTCGATATTTGATAGAAAATATATGAATTACAGTTGATCGAATTAAATATCATTTTTAGTCATTAACTTATTCAATCATTGATAACGAATAGTTCGACACTCGAATAAGTAAGAAAAAAAGGAAGTTGACTGTAATGTTGCAAATTATTATGCATAAAATCACTAGTATAAAATATATTTAAAGATCAAATCCAGAAATAACTAAATTAATTTCGTGCTACACTGCATGCCAATATCAGAAAGAGGATGAAAAACGAATTGTTAAAAGCATTGTTTTGTACTTAGTTCAGGATGTGATGTTTGGATAATTATTTATACTTAACATGTCGATTGGAATAATGTTAAATCACGGTTTGAATTTGCCAAAGTGATGCTTGAAATAAACGACTGCTCACATTTGACTTATTCTTTTTTGTAAGTTATTTGAATTTGTTTAAATTTCAATTAAAGAAGATGACGAGGAAATATGCGAAATATGTATAAGTTATATCTTGTTACCATCCTTATTTATCAGAACAAATTGAAGCCTGTCCTCTCTGTACTTCTTATATATACCTTTAATTTTGAAAGAGTTTTACAATGAGGGATTTCAGATAATTCCAGTCCGAGCTTGTCGTGTGGAGCCTTTGGGCAACTCTAGTGGTTACATAGCCATGGATGGCAAACCGATTATTCCCATTCAGCATTTCAAGTGATGCAACCAGGCATTGTGGAACGTTATTGGACGGAACCGACGTTGCTGATTACTGATAGGACTTTACTATCGTCTTTTTTTTTTCAGTTGGTATTCATTTGATTGTTAAGTTTGTCACATTATATGTTATATACGATGACCGTAAAAAATTTTAATAAGCATAATTTAAGCCTAACACAAAGCAAATTTGAAAATTAAGTTTAAAAATGAAGTCCGAGCGAAAGACTGGATGAATTTGTAAATCAGTATTACCAATTATAGGAGATGCAACAAAATGTAGCAGTTTTCACTCACGCTAATATTCCCAAAGATGCAGCAGTCTTCCACTCACGTTAATATTCCCAAAGATTTGAAAATCTGGGAACATTGAAATGAAATGAAATAAAATTGCAAAAAATGTCACAACTGCTTTGCATAAATTATTTATAACAACCAATGCAGAAGCTGAAAAGAAATCATTGAGTATAAAGGATTAAACAATGACTGCTATTGTCATTTTACTATACACTAATATATATTCTATTATTATAACTATAAATATGTTATTATACGCGGACGTAAGTTATCAATACACGTATAGTTTGCCACTCCCATCTGAATGAGAACTTATACATGCGATTATCTAACAATACCCAACAGAATTGATCGGTTGGCTTCTGTCAGACTCTCCTACAGTTTTCATTCAGGATGTTCTGTTTCATTCATTTCGATAGCAGATGCTACCACTTTTCAAACTTTTGAGTTATGACAAGGATTTTGGAATTAGATGACAAATTTGTAAATAATCTAATATATTTAGAAAAGCATTTACTTGAAGAAATATCTCCTTTGCTCATTTGTCAAACAGCAGCGATATTATTCTTTAGAAGCAACCGTCAGTAAATTTAAATGTTTTTCAGAATTAACAACAAATTATTCTCATTGACATGCGTTTCATCTATTTATTCTTCTTCGTCTTCCAACTGAGCAATATTCAAACAACCGTAAGTACTTAAATTTAAAAATACAGCATAGCGCTACAATACCGTCGGATTTAAAATTTTACACAGTGTGAAATTGATAATATCATATCATTTGAGGCAGCGCAAACGGATCAAACAGAACCATTGGATTTATCAATATCAAAAGAAAAAAGAGATGCATTACAAGGCTTATCAATGGAAAGAAAGGATGAAGAGGAAATTGAACTGCAATTGCTTCAAACAAAACCATTGGATTTAACCGCTTCAAAAGTCAGTGATGAACGAATTCCAATCGAAACAGTCATGAAAGTAATGGAACTATCAAAGGAAGAAAGAAGGGCGGGAAGGAAACAGCATTGCAATATATGTCAAAAGGAAGTAACACATATGAAGGATGTTGATAACTCATACCGGTGAGAAGCCGTGCAGTTGTCCGATATGCAAAAAGAATTTCACTGACTCCAGTATATGAATAAACATATGATGATTCATACCGGTGAAAAGCTGTACAGTTGCCCGACATGCAAAAAGAATTTCACTGACTCCTACAATATAATAGACATATGATGACTCATACCCGTGAGAAGCCGTACAGTTGTTCATTATGTAAGAAGAATTTTACTCAGTTCAGTTATATGAAAAAGCATATGATGTTTCATGCCAATGAGAAGCCGTACAGTTGTTCAATATGCAAAAAGAATTTCACTCAGTTCGTGGATATGAAAAGACATATGATGATTCATACCGGTGAAAAGCCGTACAGTTGTCCGATATGCAGGAAAAGTTTCACTGAACCCGGTAATATGAAAAAACATATGATGATTCATACCGGTGAAAAGCCGTACAGTTGTCCAACATGCAGGAAAAGTTTCACACATAAACACCATTTGCAGTCTCACATGGGAACTCATGATGTGAATAGACCTGTCTATCACTGTACTGTATGCAGTAAAGATTTTCAGACAAAAAATGGCTTGAAATTTCACATGCAGAATCATTAAACCTTGCACACCTTAAAAAAAGAAATGCTTTGCTATTTCTGTAGTCGTTGATTATTTATATTTTGGATTGATCAAATTCTAGTTACATATTCCTTTTTTTTGTTGACAAGCTGCTGTTGATATCTTTTATCTTATATGCATATTAAGGTCATTTCGTTCACTGTTTTGATTCCTGTAACGCATTTCTCAACATTAGCTTCATCCATTGATTTCATTTGCAAGTAGCCATGTGTGCTATGCACGAGATATTTGCAAATAAGTATCGATAGTGTTCAATTACTAATAAAATGAAATTGCTCATATGTATTCCTCCCTCGATTATTGTATGAATAAAATAGAAATAAATTTTTGGGAAAGAAAAGAATCATCTTAATCACAACATATCATTTACATTCTTGGCTGCATCTCACTTATACATTATTTGCTTTTATTTATTCATTGTTTGCTGCATAGTATAGGGTTGATTATAAGTATTTTTATGCAAAATCTGTTGTCAGGAAGGTCCTTATGATCTCCAACATGCTGTAAATTTATGAAATTGTGGACTTAGTTGCAACTAGAAAAGTCGTACGATGGAAATAATTCCTTGTCCTCTTTTTTACTTAAAACGCAGTGATGGAATCAGTTAAATGCAAAGTGGCAAATAATTTACACAGAGACAAATATCATTCAAAGTTAAAGAGTTTGTTGAAAGGTAAGAACTATTCAAATCAGGCTTCAAAAATTATTCTATTACCTTAAAATTATCTCGGATCTCTAAATGGATCAAAAAGGAAACGCAACAGCTTGCTTACTATAAATGTAAAAAAAAAAAATTTCTTTTAAACAGATTAAAATAAATGTGACTAATTCTTTAGAACTTAAAAAAAATAAAGAAATCATGGATGCCTACACTTTTGAAACCGGTTGGATCTGACTGGGATGTGTGCGAAAGTTGTTTCGTTTACAAACCTTTCTCATTTGGGTAAGTTTTTCCTTAATATTTTCAATTTCAAATTCCGAAATCAAAAGTTTTCCAAATGGAAAGTTCATTTGTATTTTTAGGTTTTTCCTTGGAATAGGTTTTGTTATATTAGTTGTCTTTTTATTAGTTATTAAATGATGATAGATTAAATCATTTAAAAAGCCTACTAAATCGTTTGTTCACTGACTGTGACAATTTGTTAGCCAAAATAATGCAGATGAATTTCAGTTAATTGAATTACATATCATTTACACTATATGTCGATATTCAATATCGGAAAGAGGATGAAAGACGAATCGTTAAAAGCACTGTTTTTATACTTAGTTCAGGAATTGATGTGCCTCACCTTCTATATGCTCGTTTGGATGATGATTTATACTTAACATGTCGATTGGAATAATGTTAAATCACGGTTTGAATTTGTCAAAATGATGCTTGAAATAAATGACTGCTCATATTGGCTCTTGAAATAAACGACTCAAAAAAGATTTTGCAGGTTATTTGAATTTGCTTAAAATTCATTAAAGAAAACTACGAGAACGCATGTTTAAAATGTATAAATTATATCTTGTCACTATCCATTTTTGTAAAGACAAATTGACCTTCTCAAGTTTTACGGTGAAAATTATAAATAGTTCTAGTCCGAGCTTGTCGTGTAGAGCCGCTAGGCAACTCTAGCAATTATATAGCCATAGATGGCGGACTGATACCTTCAGGGTCAGCATTTCAAGTGATGCCAACCAGATATTGTGCAAATGATTATTGGACGCAACCAATGCTTCTCATTACTAATCTCACTCTCAGTCAGTGATCTTTACCACCATCTTTTTCTTTTTTCTTTTCTAGTTTCATTACGGTTAGGATTTTGGTTGAAAGGTTGATCAGTATTAGAAATTATCAACTGTATTCATTTGACAGCTACCTTCATCACATTATATGTTATATACGATAACTATAAAAATTTAATAGGCTTTATTTACACACATATACACCGAAAATGGGGTTCAAACGGAATATTTATTTATTTTCTCCACGAATTACGGCTGCAGTTTTCTTCCATGTATCTTCACATATTAGATTAATAGATAACAGATTAGCGAAAGCCGGATCAACTACTAATAAGAATAAACCCAAAACTTTTTAATAACAAGATAATTAGTGTATGATATTCCGTTCACTAACAGTTTCTTTTTTTTTTAAATAGAGATGAAGAAAATAAGTCAAATTATCTTCCACTTTCTTCTGTTATATCTCATCCACCATTTAAATAAAGAATGAATCAAAAAATGCTGAATGAGAAAAAAAGTTTATTGATGAAGAAAGTTTAAAAAGAAAACATTTCATTTAAATTATGATCAAATAATCATCATTCATTTCTTTCTCAAAACATTATTCATTATCACTATCCTGTTATTATTGTTTAAAAAAAGACCACCGCTTTTATTTTCTTTTTTTTTTTTTTTATTATGGTTTAAATTTGAAAGGTTGATAAAGTGTTAGAAATATCAATTGGTACTCATTTGACAGCTATCTTCATCACATTATATGTTACAAAATATTTTAATAAGCTTAATTTACACATGTACATAGCAAATTTGACAAAACAAATTTGAAAATGAAGTCCAAACCAAAGATTAGAAAGATTTGCTGAAATCATTGAAAATGTAAAAAAATTGAAGCAGAATGGAATAAAATTGTGCAAAAAATATCACAACTGCTTTGCATAAATTATTTGCAACAATGCGATATTAGCAACTGAAATGGAATTATTTAGTGTATAGGATTAAATAGTGACTGCCATTATCATATCACTGTACGTATTTTTTATATCCTATTGTTATTACTATCCTGTGTTATTATACGTGGACATAGGTTATCAATCTACGTACTTTGCCACTCCCATCTGAATAAGCATTTATACATACAATTCTCCAATACCATAACAGAATAATCATGTAGCCCGTCAAACTCTCCTAAAAATTTCCATTCATA